ATTACTCTTTGCAGAAAGAAGGGGGACTTGAACAAGCATTTATACACAAAGCTGGTGAGACACTGAGGTTAATGAGGAGGGATGCCAAAAATTTAATCAGCTCAGTCATTTTAAAAATGACAATAACAAAAAACATTCAGACATCATAAAAATTATGCTTAAGCATCCTATAAATAGTTACCATATTCTCTAAATTTTAAGCCATCATCAGTTGCAAGATACACTACTAACTTTGTTAACAACTTTCCTGAAAAAATAATACACTAATATCTTTGGATACTGATATTCATTCTAATAATTGATATTTTTACAAGTAATAATTTTTATATTGCAGAATTCTGATTTTTAGAATAGGATGAAAAATATGTAGGCAATTTCTTTTCAGTTTGTAAACAGTATGTTGTGATCCCATGCAGTTATGACTTTAGTTTTACAAATACCCCAGCTATCTCACAAATAATCCTTGAAGCAAGATAGAAATTGCCACGTGTTCTGCCAAAGGGAACTTTTTTCTTGCTTTTCGCATGTAGTATGGAAAAAGAATAATGCAAAACAGATATTTCCTTTGGGGTACTTATTTTTAAATCTGAATATTGACTGGCAATAATACTTTCTTAATAATAATCTATTCTAATGATCTGATTCAAAGTGAGGGTATTTGACTTTGCCATAATCCTCCATCATTGTCTATTCGGGGAATGAACAACATCATCATATGCTGATGCAAAAAAATCATAGGATTCTATCGCATGGTTAAGTTTGTCTACTTTCCCTAGAAATGCAATTAATCTTGTTTAAAAAGTCTTTCCTCTAGTATCCTTCTGGATTGGTTTTAAAATAAGAATCTACATTCACCAAGATATTGAAACAAAGAAGCTACAATCCATAATAGAGAATGGATTTGAAAATTAAGTTAGAAACAACTGGAAGTGAGAAATTGAGAAAGAGTTGACCTGGAAAAGTAAATAATAATGCTGTTGGAAAAAGTGAAAGGAAACTAAGTTGGTGGCATACGTACTACTGGGGGAAAAATAATGAAAGTTTGCAGTTAAAAGGTTACCATTTGAGTCAACACTGTTTTGAACTAAGGTAACAATGGAAAAAAAAACAGAAAAAATATTGTGAAGTTGGAGTCAGCAAGGTTTGCAAGTAGGCAATGTTAAAGGAAAAGTCAAAGAATACTGTGGAATTTAAATCCTGGGTTGCTAGATAGTAGTAATATCATTAGAGGAACAAGGAATGAGGGGGAAAGAGGCTGATTTTGAGGGAATAGGCAAAAATGAAATAAGTAACTCCTTATGGACACTTAGTATAAAATAAAAGTTGCAAGTAATGTGCCAATTCGTACCTTGGGGATTAGGTGAATATTTTGCATCTGTGTGTGTCTATTTTTAAGTTTTTGTTTTGGTTTATTAGCCAAGGAAGAAAAGTGCTATAGATAAATAATCAGCTTATACTGGAAACAAATCAATGTCTGTAAGGGAATCTATATGCCCTGATCCCATCTCAGCTAACAGAAGAAAAAAACTGATAATCATCAAAAGCAGTATTTTTATTGAAAACCAAATTTCTATTTGTATTTTCATCTTACGGCAAGATGACATAAAATTCCTTTAAGAAACCTATAGTTTCAACAGGCTCTGTGGTTTCAACCCAGTGTTTCTTTTGTTATGAAGCCAACATTAAAACTACACAGTTCAGGCAGTTTTTTAAATTCCATATTTTTTTGTCCAAAACTTGAACCAGAAAATCAGGACAAATTATCTATAACTGATACTTCATATCTCTGCTTCTGAGTCTGGCCACCCTTCTCTCTCTCCTTTGAAATCATCAGCCACAGAATATAAGTAAGCAAGATAACTAGAATAGCAACAGTATTGGCAGTAGTTTGTGTTTCCTTTTAATATTCTTTTATGTTATCCTCTGGCACTGGTCTCGGTGATGCTCTATAAGCTCAGAGTGGGAGGTCATTTGGGAAAAGCCCTGGCCACTGAAATCAAATAAGCTTAGGTGAAACTCTCATTTTCCCCTTCAACTATGTACTGTTATCCATATCATTTATGCTCTTTACTACGTTTAATTTTTCACATCTATAAAGTAGAAATTGTATTCTCTTCCTTGTGAGGTTAGTGTTGGATGAGTGGTATGAAATGGTTAATACTGTGGTCCTAAGAAGCAGACATAATTTGTCACTTTTTAGCTAGGTAGCCTTGGGCAGGTTATTCCCTTCTCAGTTTGCTCCATAAAATTGGGATAATAAAGATATCAATCCTATCCAACATTTAAGAGCTCTTCACTGGCAATGGACTAGACATTATTCTAGACTCAAAAAGTTAGAGGACTGGGGTGCCTGGCTGGCTCAGTCAGTCAAGTGATCGAGTCTTGATTTTGGCTCAGGTCATGATTTCAAGGTTGTGAGATTGAGCCCCACATGAGGCTCTGTGCTGGGCGTGGAGCCTGCTTAAGATCCTTTCTCTCTCCCTCTGCCCTTTACACTTCCACCCCAGCCATTTGCAGGTGTGTATGTATATGCATGCATTCTCTCTAAAAGAATTAAAATAAAATAAAATAATAAAATAAAATGTTAGAGGATTATATAAGATGGTACATACGAGTGGTGAATGGTATCAGCTCTTTCTCTCAGAAGGACTTTCTGTATTCCCCACCTTTGCCAATCTTCTTGTCCATTGAGAATGCTTCCCAACCCCCTTGTTGGGCTTGACCACATGATTTGCTCTGATCAATGCACATGAGCAGACATTATGCATACCATGTCCCAACAGAAGCTTTAAATGTGCTTTCTTTTTCCTCTCCTTCTACTTGACAACAGAATATATCACATAGGATCTTTGTCCTTAGCTTTGATCCCAGATAAACAGGAAAAGTAGTACACTGCTTGAAGCTCTATAGAACTAAAAATATCTATGAATAAATATGTATTTTTGCCATTATTGTTCTATGCCCACTCATATGCTTGAGATCAAGAAATAAATGCTTGTGGTTACAAGCCACTAAGGTTTGGCTTTCAACAAAAGCTGGCATATAACATTGTTTTGCATATGAATATTATTTTAGCAGGAATAACAAACTAAAATATGTAACAAAAGTATATAAAACACTTGAAAAGATACTAGGCATCTATCTACCCATTCACCAACAAATGTTAATATTGAGTAATATTACGTGCCAGAAACTGTTTAAGCTCCTGGAGATAAGGCAGTGATAAGACAAAAATCCCTGCTATCATGCAGCTAACATTATTGTTGGGGAAAATAGAAATATAACCATACGGAGAAAGAAAATGTCAGACAAGGAAGAGACTCCGTGTGTGGAAGGAAGTCAAGTGCCTATCTGGAGGAAGTACATTCCAGGATGAGGGACAAGAAGGTGTAAAAACCCTGAGGCATAAACGGGTTGGAGTATTTAAGGATTAGCTAAGAGGACTTATAGTTGTCAAGTAGAGGCACAGGGCTGGAAGGTGAAGTATGAGAGGTCTGAGGGGACCAGTCAAGCACACCTTGGAAGCTACTATAGAAGTCTGGCTTTTGCTCTGAAAAAAACAGGATGTCATAGGAAGACTCTGATGATAGGATGACATGATCTTATCTAAGTTTGAAAAATGATAAATCTGCCTGCTGCTTTGAGAACAGATTATATTCTCAAGGGTAGAAGTAGAGATAATTTAAAAGGCAACTATAATAATCCATGCAGACACAACAGTGGCTTGGGAGGGGAGAGTAATGAGAAGTGGTCGACTCTTGATATATCTGAAGCTAGTGGCAAACCAGATGTGTTCATGAAAAATAAACAAGTAGAAATATATTATCATTTACTGAGAAAGGGAGGCATGGAAGAATGGCAAGATTGAGGGGACAATTAATAATCAAGAATTCACTTGCAGCCGTGGAGATATAAGGGTCAACTCATTGAATTATTGATTTCCTTTTTGCCTGACCTTGTCCAGAGAGGGATTTGGCTTTGTGCAGAGTTCTTCAGAAACCACTACATGGAATGGCTAAGGGAATTAATCCTGCCAGGATGATGAGGTGGAGGATCAGAGCTGAGTCCCAGAGCTACAACTGAAAGAACTGGAATCCAGCCCTGATTATGTCCAGGGAGAGGCTGGTGTTCTTCCAACCAAGAACACTACATTGATGGAGCAGGACTAAAGGTTAAGTTTTCAGCACTTGAGAGTGCTCACTACATGGATTATTGCAATTCATTTTTAAATTACCTTGCCTCTGATCTCTTCAAGAAGGAAACTGTACTCCCCACCTTGCCATACTGAGCCTACAGCCTTGGTATCAGGATTACCCAAGAGCTTGATAACCAGTAGATTACTACACACTGCCTGGAATGAGCTTTTCCTGGGGTGTTTTAGTTTTATTTTAATTTATTGTAGGCTTGTTTTAGGTTATTTCCCTTCATTACCTTCGAGATGTCTACCAGACATCTAAGTTGAGATGTTTAATAGGGAATTAGTATACAAGTCTGGATTTCAGGGTAAAGGTTGAGAATGGGGACAAATCTAGGAAATTTATATTTGTTTTTTAATAAAAGAAAGGCATAACATGGAGAAGAAACAGATGACAACAATCCTTAGGAATATTTAGTGTGGGCTGACAGGAAAACATCTCTCAATGTAACTGAGAGAGATTAATACAGTCTCCAAAACAATGTAATTATAAGGTAACCAGTTTGGTTATTATAACCCCTCAAATATAATGGAATTACAGTTTAACTTCAGACAAGATTTCCTAATATTTTCCACAGGATGAGACAGAAGTACAACTGATTCAAACCTCTTTACTATCTTTACAAAGATACTAAGACTAATTACTAGCAACAATTCACAATAATCTTTTCCAGGATTAATATACTAGTAAGAACAGAAGGGTATTCTTAGAATATGTGTAGAAATGAAATATTGATTTCCTCAACAGTGCTTTTTAAAGTAAACAAGTTTGAAAATACTCATATATTAAAATATTCTTCTTTGCCAAGGTAGAGGGCACAGTCCATGAATGACAAATCATCGATTACAATGTCTCCAGTGAAGTCATCTCCTACAAAAGCCTCCACCAAAGTCTAAGAAAAATACAAGAAATCTGTTGATATTGTGAAGGACATTAACTTATGAAAACCACATGATAGGATAAAAAATCAATTTAAAGAGAAATTTTTTCTGAACCATTAAAAAAATACTTTCCAATAGTATTTATAAAATAGGCATCTTGTCCCTACCTAAATAAATCCAGTAACAGGAATTTATGTTCCTTATTGGGCCCATTAGACCCACAAAACTCATGTGTTTCTAGTGATTTTCTGAAATTGTAATAGGTCAGATTGATATCTTCTTCCCTATAACTTTCAACCTTTAATTCTAGACTTGTCCTATTTTTTTCTGATCCTTTGAGTATTTGAAGGCAAATCATGGTCTCCTTTTCCCACCTTTGCCCAAGGAGTTCATCTGTTTCCAAGGTTAAACCTCCTCATTGTTCAAGAAATCCAATTTGCAGCCAGAGGTACTTGCTAGAATGTACATTTTTAAGACCTTTAGAATTTTTCTCACACTGACCTTATTCTGTAACACTTTATGAAACTGGCTAATCGTTATTAGATCTCCTTCAGAACCGCATTAATCACAGCAAATGCCGATGACATCTATGCTCTTACAGGAGTTGCAATTCCACCAAACCTCCAGTAAAACATGAAATACTGACAAACCACTATGTTATATGGCAGATTGTGATTAGGGCTGAAATTTACTAGAATGGAATTAATCATGATAAATTATTTTAATACTTATGCAAATATGTTGCATAGTGAACAGGAATCCTGCTATAATTTAATAATGAAGAACTTCAAGCAAACTCAGAAAACACATTCTTTTCTCCCACTATTATGTGAATATATGTTTCTGTTGCATTTCTCCTTACAAATGTTTTTTTTTCTCCCTACAAATGTTATATATGGGAGTTGAAATTTTATTTCATTTTTTAAAAATTCTTAGCTTCTATCCAAACTTGTCTCACACATTATTTATGAGTGTCTTAGAGGTAGGAAATTTTTAAAAGATCAAATTACTGACCTCACACCTCTTGACATCTTCCCCCAACTTCCTAGTCTTTCTTGAGAATTACCAGTTTTCTCCATAATTTGTCAGTTAGGAAATTAATCAATGTGGGAAAGGTTTATGTATCTAACTAATGGGTAAATGTATTCCACTTAATATTGCCAGAAGAACATTTATTTATCAGTACTATGCAGGAGTGTCCTGGTGCTTTATAATGGATCAGTCCATATATAAAATGCACCCTTAGTTTCTCCACTATCATGAATGAAAGAAATATTATAGGCAGAGAAAACAAAAATGCATAAAGAATACCCAGTAGAAAACCATACAATTATTCTAATAAACAAAAAACTGGCAGTCAGAATTTGGCAGAACCTACTGTAAGAAAATATTTTTTGTTCTATTAAAACAAAAAAGACTGCATTTGGGTAAGCCAGAGGAAAAAGGCAAACACAAAGATTAATTACTAATAAATTTCCTGGATCAATAGGCCTATCTTACTGCAGTACAACATAGGACATGGCTGAGACAAAAGCTGAGAAGATTCAAGAAAAAGGAGAATTTAGGGTAAATAAGAGGAAACATTGATTTTGCTACACCGCTCATGATTATATTAGTTATTTATTTATTTATTTATTTTTATTTATGATAGTCACAGAGAGAGAGAGGCAGAGATACAGGCAGAGGGAGAAGCAGGCTCCATGCACCGGGAGCCCGACGTGGGATTCGATCCTGGGTCTCCAGGATGGCGCCCTGGGCCAAAGGCAGGCGCCAAACCGCTGCGCCACCCAGGGATCCCCTATATTAGTTTAATAAGAAGGAGGGATAGAAAATGACACCAACACTGAGGGGGGCACTTGACGGGATGAGCACTGGGTGTTATATATATGTTGCCAAATTGAACTCCAATCAATCAATCAATCAATCAATCAATCGAAAATGACATCAAAATCCCAAAGTTTATGGAAAGCACAGTTCTTCTGCATAAAAATATCTGTAAGCTAACTTTGTGGATATATACATGTATAGCTCCACTTGAGAATATGCGCTCACTGTTCAAAAGTATTTTTTGTTGTCATTATGCAGGCATAAATTTAAACAATAGTCATTTGTGAAAATTGTAAATTTTCTCATTTGTGGGCCACACTAGGTAAGTAGTACCTCTGAGTGGATTCTGTTTGCAAAGGCTTATTTCTATTCTAGTTCACTGCATACTACATAAGAAGCATTTTGATAGTGCTTGTATCAGCATTAAGTGCCAAGAAGATGACAAAAAAAAAATAATAATCTCAGGCAGAAGACAGTTGGGTCTTGTGCTGAGATACAATGTAATCATAATTTTTACCAAAATACATTCAATTTCCTGACTCTTTAAACATTAACATTGTTCAGAACAATAGCTTCAAGTTGAAATACTAAAACTGTTTGTATGTATATTTGCAGTCTCAGCCTCTTTTGAGAATTTAATTAAGCCAACCACTAAAAAAAAAAAGTTATGAATGTATGAATGTTCAGGTTTTATTCTACCTTTGTCCTACCTTTAAATGTGGTCTTGTGAAAGCTTTGCATGTCATCCTAAGAAACTAATCCTAAGAACATAGTCACACAAAAAAGAAGAAACCCAAGTGTCTCTGTTCTGAAAAATTCACTTTCATTTCTGGTGTTTTTCCCAGAATAAATGGGAGAATATTAAAACACAAACATTATAGTGTGCAGGGCAGTATTGCCATCCTGGAAATTAGAGAAGCCATATTTTACTCTTAAGTGCCATTAGTACCTTACTGAATTACTTAAAGGGCAATTGGAAATTCCAGTTTGGTCTAAACGACCTGCATTATCCGTACAGGCCAATTCTACTTACATTAGAACTATCACTGGCTTGGAAATTTTGTAAAGTAATGCAGTGCTTCTAAGTTGTTCTTTTCATGGGCTGCCACATCTAGGTGCTCCAACTAAAGACAAGATGGCTTTGTCAACTACGTTGCGACTTTTAGTTCTAATATAACCAAAGACTCAACTATTAATAAGGGTCTCAAGACTTGCCAGAACTCATTTATCTCTATATTTAGGAAGTTCTGAATTTCTAACCAAGCATTTTAAATGATCTGGAAACTCCCATTATCATATATATGTAACATACAATTATAATTTTACTAAAATACCTTCAATTTCCTAACATATATATGTACATGTGTGAGAATTAACTCACGGGAAATAAAAAATGACATTAACTCAACCTGTCACCTACTATTTTAACCATCCCAAGTTTGTGAAAGAATACAAAATTCAAACATATCAATTTTTGATATAATCTTCAGGAAGACTTGAAATAAAGGATTTCTTCTCTAAGATTAAACAACAATATACACTCGATGTGGAGCAACTAGGACTCTGATGCATTGCTCATGGGAATCCAAAATGGTTTGGAAAATGGTTTGTCAGTTTCTTATAAAATTAAACATACTTCTCTATAATGTGGCAATCCCACATATAGGTATTTGCTTACTCAAGAGAAATGAAGTCATGCCAAACAAACACCAGCTCACAAAGTGAAAACAATCCAAATATCCTTCAACTGGTAAACAGTAAAGAAACTTGTGGGAGATCTATACGATGGAATGCCACTCAGCAATAAGAAAAACTAGTGGTACATATAACAACAGTTGTGCATCACAAAAGCATTATATCTAAGCCAAAGAAGCCAGTCTCAAAAGGCTACATACTTGATCAATCCATTTATACAACATTCCAGAGTAGGCAAAACTATGGAGAAAGAAATCCGATGAGTGTTGTCAGGGGCTCTGGGGATCTATGACATGGAGGAATGGGGAATCTGAGAGGATGAGAGAAATATTTTCTTACTTGTGGTGGTGGTTACATAACTGTGTGAGTTTACTGAAATTCATAGAGCTGATCACCTAAACAAGATGGATTTTACTTAAATAAACTATACCTCAATAAACAAATAAACACATTTATTCTATACTTATTGCCACAAATCATTATTATCTCAATTACTATTTTTACTGTTTTCTAAATCACTAATTTCATGCATGGAATTTTATAATTATTACATTGTAATCTCAAGTATTACACCATTTTAATCCAGCTATGAACATTCTCTTGTAATCCACTAATACTTCCCCAGAGAATATTTGTTTTCCATTTTACTTGTTAATGATGTCCACTTATTTTCATTTACAATTTTCATAAAAATGCAAAGACAAAGAAAATGAAAGACATAAAAATTCCTTTACCCTGTTTTTTATAGTTGACTAACAGTTTGATATAGCCAAACTCCTATAAACACATTTAGACAACTATCCGATATTTTACCGTATAACCTAAAATTTAAGGGGCTCATAGAAAGTCAGTTTAGGATCTTAAACTTTCTAGGCTAATATTTAGGGAAACATTTGCTAGATTCAACATAAAAATAAAGTACTAGAAGAGATGAAATAAAATTCTGGGATAGATAAGTAGGGCAAGTGCTATAAAATGATTACTTAGAGAAAGTATCTGATGTGACTCACCTGTGTAAGATCCTATTTTGGGAAAAAATCATGACAACAATTTTTATTGATATTTTGGCATTATACCCTATTTCTTCTTACCTAATGTCAGGCATAATATATAGCTTCCTAAGAATTTTTTATTCTTCAATGACTGTGTGCTTTGGCATTATGCCAAGTGTTTCCATAGTTACCAAAAAGAATTTTTAAAAAAGTTATCTTGATGGTTTCTCACCATCTAGGACAGAAGAGATAAAATGGTTATAACCCAGCTTCCAGGAGTGTGGTTTAGCCAAAACAGTGCTTTCAAGGAGAACAGGTTGACAAATATTTTTAAAGTAGGATTATTTCACAAAAAGATACGGTCCTGTGGTTGTTATAGTCTGATTATTCCCTATTAAAAACAGAACTCTAAGGCTGACAGTTGTCATTTATTATTTAACACCTGACCTACTTCCAATTCATGTCCTTTGCCTGGTTCCCATAGGCATTTGAGTTTC